AGGAAGGCATACCATAATTAGGGATACTTAGTGTTTTGTTCCCACTGGCTCCCTATCAAAGTCTTCAGTTCTCAGTCACTCCAGTGGCTGCCAATTAGTTTCTGGGCAAAGTACAAAGTGTTGGTTTTGACCTTTAAAGCCCTACATGGTTTCGGTCCAGGTTATCTACAGGACCACCCCGAACACTTAGGTCCTCTGGGGGGTTGCTATTCCAAGCCTGCCAGAACCCAACTGGCCACCATCACCCAGAGAACCTTTTAATCAGCTGCCCCAAGACTGTGGAATGACCTGCCTGAAGCGATCTGATAGGTAGATCAGCTGTCAGAATTTAAGATGCAATTGAAGACCCTTCTCTTCCAGCAGACCTATGCAGTCAATTTTAAATTATGAATTTTAATCTGCATTTCATCAGTGTATGTTAACTATATGTATCTTTGTTGTATATGTTTTCATGGTGTTTTATCTCATTTTAATGATATAGTACCCCACCTCAAGCTGCAGGTTCTCCTTCAAGTATCAAGGTCCAAAAAAAGGAAGGAAGCTAAATTAACAGGCCAGTGATTTCGATCACTGATGGATCATTTAAAAATATGATGATGGATTACCACTACATATTTTACTTATATTACATTTGAATTAACTAAGAATTTGTAAGTAACATGAAGTAACATACAAGAAACTTGTATTATCCTTACTACTTTCAGACATTTTTGAATAGTTCTTCCTGCTTTGATTGTCCATTTTCCATTCAAGAAGTATTATAACAGTTTTGTTTATTTTTTTAATGCCTCTATGTTAAGATCTTAACACTTGATGGTGGGGAGATTAATGGTCTGGTATAAATTTATTTATTTACTATATTTATATCTCGCCCTTCTTACCCCAAAGGGGACTCAGAGTAGCTCACATGTAGGCATCTTCATGCTCTTTGGTATGCAGGTTCGTCTATGTTTTGGGTGCTCATTTGTGGTTGCACCTTTAACTTGCCTGTCAACAGATGGCAACTCCACAAATATCAGGGGATTTTCTTAAGCAGGGAATACTCACAGGTGGTTTTGCCAGTTCCTTCCTCTGAAATATAGCCTCCAGCACCTGATATTTTTTGGGGGGTCTCCTATTAAAGGACCAACCAGAGCTGACCCTACAGAACCAGGCAGGATTATGGTACCTCAAATCAGGCAGCAGAACTTTATTATTCCATATTGTCAAACTTTTAGGCACTGTAATTATTTTGTCTTCTAAACGGTTTTGAAAAGATTTTAACATTTCATCTGTACCTCTTGAATTCTTAAACAGCTTTCAAACTCCCTTTTAACTAATCCCTTCATTTTTAAGACATTTCCCATCTTGATGCTGATTTTTTTGGACTCTGAACCAATTTCCACAGAAATATACATTGAATATTCTAGCCTTGCAATCGCTTTTTCCTCAGCAGCTTGACAGCTCTTATATATTGCAGTAGCAGGAAGAGCTAGCAAAAATACTTTTCCTAAAGCTCAGGTAAAGTTTCCTTGAAAAGCAAAGTTGTGCTCCCGCATGACTGAATAGGAGGCATGGAAAGTAATTGTGGCCTTGTCACTATTTGAAACTTTAGAAGGACCTATTTAAAAAACAAGGCTGTGCAGAATTCTGGTACCATACATATCTGTGGTTTAAAAAACAAAGCAAAACAAAACAAATAGATGTACCAATAATGGATGGAAAATAATGTAGGCACATGAATAACACCATATCACAAGTATCATAAAGTGTCCATATATCGCATACAGCTGCATCCATAACAATAAGGCTCCAGTTGTGCTTACAGCATACCTCAAAAATTGAAGAAATTATGATTCGCTGAAGAAATTATAATACTGTGGAAAGATGAATTGATTCATCTGAGGGAGCCACAGCTTTGAGCAGGACTGTTAGTAATGCACACTTAGAGGTCTTTTATTCATAAGGTGGAAGCAATGACAATAGTAACAATAATAGGAAAATCAGACATCTATGCAATAGTGGTGCTATGTCGGCCACTAGCTTTTCTTTCGGCTTTGAGCTAGCTGCATCATCACATCTGGAGCTAGTTAAACTTATTCTCCTCAATAGCATTTTGACCATCTTCCGACCTGGGAGTCCCATCTTCCGATGGTATATCGACATATCTCTGGTTGTACTGATCCATTTAGTTTTGATGGCAAGAATGCTGGGGTGGGTTGCCATTACCTTCCCCAGGGATTGTTGCATTTAGTCTGACTTCTCTTCCATGACCTTCCTGACTTGGGTGCCCCTACATGGTTTTGCTCATGGCATCATCAAGGTGCTCAAACTCCAGCACAATGACAAGGCAACGATCCTTTGCTGGAGCTATGTTGATAAGTGATTGAAATGCAACCAATAAGATTGTGTAGAAACAATTTAATACTAAGCTCTGACTGAAAGCAGTGGAAAACAGCCAGAAATAGCAAGTTTATGTGTATTAAGATATGTAAATGATAATAATTTGTACATAACATCAAAACTAACTGATTGATTGAATAAGGTAGATAGGCATGTACACGTCAAAAATATTGGTACCTGATTATATCTGATTTGCCATTTCTAGTACATAGAGACATCAAACATTATTTCATCCCTACTTCTTAAGACAGACTTTGGCAGGTTTTTAGCCACAGTGCATCATTGCCATTGGATAACTCTACAGGTAGCTATTTATTTATTTATTTATTTATTTATTTGCCATATTTGTTTCCTGCCCTTCTCACCCTGAAGGGGACTCAAGGCAGTTTTACACATAGGCAACAATTCAATGCCATGAAAAACAACATACAATTAAAATAAACATTTAAATTAAAACCGCAAATTAAAACATTTAAACATTACATCAACTATTAAAAGCACACCATCTACAATCGTAATCCAGCCCATTCCAGTAGTCATTGCACATATTCTGTATCCATTTATTGCACTTCAATTATTATCCGAAGGCTTGGTCCCAAAGCCACGTTTCTATATATTCTTTCTGAAGGCCAGGAAGGAGGGAGCTGATCTAATATCACTGGGGAGGGAGTTCCACAGCCAAGGGGCCACCACTGAGAAGGCCCTGCCTCTTGTCCTCAACAGTCGTGCCTGCGATGGGGGTGGGACAAAGAGCTGGGCTTTCCCAGAAGATCTTAATCTCCACTATGGTTCATAGAGCTATGATTGTGAGACTGTTGGCTAGCATAAGTAACTCAGCACAAATAGCAGTAGAGCAGTAAAATAAAATGGGTACCAGCATTTCAGTATGAGAGAGATAAGACAGAAATTCATCTCTGTGAATTAAGAAAGCTGCCCTGCTGGTTTCCAAGTGGTTCAAGAGCTAGTAATAGTGATGGTGGTAGTAGAAGCAATCATAGTATTTGTATTCTGCTTTTTCTCCCCCAAAAGAAATTGAAATCAGTTAACACTAAAAATTATATTAATGTGCACATTGAAACCTAAAGCATATAAACATTAAAATAGAATTAAATATAAGAATATTAAATATATATAGTTAAAAACAATAAAACAATTTTATTAAACTACATATGACACAATATCCCTTGGATTGGTCTTAAAAACTTCCTTTAAAAGTCTGTCTGAAAAGAAAGGTCTTAGTCTGCTGCTGGGAGAACAGCAGAGAGGGGGCCATTGTGGCTTCCCTGGGCAGGGAATTCCAGAGACTAGTGCAGTAGTTCCAAACCATTTTTTTGACCAGGGACTACTCTGACCAGGGACCACTCCAACATTAGTACCAAAAGGGTTACAAATCAGTTTTTGGTCAACTTTAGACTTGGTTTGGTTATTTGGGGTGCTGAATCGGAAAATTGCACTGGATAGACCACATCAGCTCTAGTTTCTGATACAGAACATATGCCACCCAGTAGTCACCATCTGCTCACCCACAAAAATCATATTTAATAAGCCTCTGCACTATAAGAGGGTTTTGTGAGACCAGCCACTCTTGTTGCAATGGTGTAGTAATGATGAGGCCATTGACCACATTTAGTTCTTGCAGACCGCTGGTATCCACGGACCACAAGTTGGGAACCACTGGTCTAGTGGCTGCCACTGAGAAGGCCCTCTCTACATCCCCATTAACCATTTGTGATGGTGGTGGCACCAAAAGATGGGCTTCTCCTGAAGATCTCAGGGTGTTGGCAGATTCCCATAGCAACTGTTACTGGAAAATAAAAAGGTTTTCTCTTCTGATCCAGCCAACCCACCTTCCCATTGTACACTACTTTAAGAAGTTCTCTACACTGGAGCAAGAAAGAATTTTATCAGTGAAAATCACCAAAAGGAGTCTGACCCATACTTCTTCTTCAAGTGGTCTGACAATAGCTCCTAGCTTTCACATTTACTTGCCACTTTTAAGGTATCAGTCATACCCCCCAGTTTAGTAACTACTTGCTAACTGTATTTTTGAAGGCTTTAATGGCTGGAATCACTGGGTTGTAGTAGGTTTTTCAGGCTATATGGCCATGTTCTAGAAGCATTCTCTCCTGACATTTCACCTGCATCTATGGCAGGCGTCCTCCCCACTACTTGCTAACTATCACAAATTCATTTTCTATCCTTATGTATCTGAAAGAGGAAGACAAAGTTTTATAATATAATTAATCCCAGTTGTTTTAAGATGAGCAATAAACCTACCTAAAACACATTTGCATAATAATATCAAAGTATAGCCTTCATTTATTCAAATCTTGTTAAATCAGGAAAGAATCAGAACATTGTGTTTTTTATATGGGAGCTCATTAATTATGAGTTACAATTATATCCTGCAATTCCTCCACTAAACTCAAGGCACTAGTCCTTCCTAGTCATTCTTCCCAATAATCCTTGAGATGGGTCAGGCCGAGAGAAGGAGAAAAAGAGAGTACTGGTACACAATGACTTTCAATGGGGGCTGGAACTGAGATCTTCCAATTCCCAGTCTATAATTAACCACCATACCACAATGACTATCCTTATTAAGAGTAATAGATACTTGCCTTTGGCCAGTGACTGTAGATGAATATCTGACATGTCCACCCGTAAAAGGAGATATTGTTGGGCTTGCATGAGAAGACCAGGAAAATCCTTTTCAATGGAAGCAAACTGCTCAATTTTGTTTTTCACAGAAGCTAGCACCTGCCAAAACAATAGCAGTAATAAATCTTCACACTGTCATTTTAGTTATGTAGTGAATTATCTGTGTACTGTGTCCCTTGCTCTCAAAACTACATTAAGGATAGTTACGGTGCCAACTCTGAACAATGGCATTATTAATGCACCAATTTTAAGGCACTGTTCTGCAGTGCCTTAACACAGAGAAAGTTCAAGGTAAAATATTCACAGATTTCCTGTTTAAAAGGGGGGGAGGGGTACCCTCTAATTGCTGCATTTTAATGAGACTTTATTGGATATTTTCTAATAGCAATCCTGGAGATATTAACAGGGTACTGCTCCAAAGAGTTCATTCCGAATTAGGCAAAGAAGACAAATGGAAAAACAACAAACTGAAGATAAAGCAAATTGCATTCACTCGCATCCATCTCTTATTATTTCCTTATTACATTTAGACTGTTTGACTACATTGGCTGTTACAGTGATGGCACAGTATTAATAATAAACAGTTCCTGTTGCTACCGTATATACTCGAGTATAAGCTGAGTTTTTTTAGCCTTTTTGTAAGACTGAAAAAGGTCCCCTCGACTTATACTGAAGTCAAAATTATTTATTATTTTACTCTGTTGTTGTTGTTGTTACTAGAAACACAACATGAGTAGTACACAGCAAACAAGATCACTATGCTGGTTGTTGTATTGGATCACACGTCACACGCTTTCCAAGTTACATTTATTATTTTACTCTGTTGTTTTTATTATTATTACATTTACATTATTTTGCTCTATTATTTTATTACATTTATTATTTTACTCCATTTATTATTATTATTATTATTATTATTATTATACTCTATTTTTATGATTACATTTATTATTTTACTCTATTATTACTGTTATTATTACATTTCCATTATTTTACTCTATTATTGTTATTACATTTACTATTTTACTCTCTTTATTATTATTGGAAGGATACGTAAGCACATTTACATTGAAGAAGGTTAGAATAATTTAATCAGAACTGAACAGTCTTATCTTAAATTACAGTTTTATGTAAATATTCTAAAACATTTAATCTACTGATGCCTCGATTAATGTAATTTTATTGATACCTATTTTTATTTAGAGATTTACCAGTAGCTGCTGCATTTCCCATCCTCGGATTATACGTTTTCCCAGTTTTTTTGTGGTAAAATTGGGTGGTTCGGCTTATATTTGGGTTGGCTTATACTCGAGTATATATGGTTGTTCCCAACAAAAACAGATCCACTGTAAATTTCTGAATGGTAACTCAACATTTATGTAAACCTCACTGTTTAAAAAAGGTTTGTTCTAGTTAGGAGTAAAAATTGGATTTCCTTATTTCATTTGTTCATTACCTCTAAGCTTGTAGGGCCCCCCAAGATTAACAGCTTACAATATTAAACTTAAATAGATAGAAACAAACTGAATTCAGTTTCTTGGCAAACAATATAATATCATACATATTAGTTGCAACATTCATAGCAGCCAACCCTTGGTTTTGGGACCAAAGGCCATACAAAAATAATATAATCTTAGCTGCATAGCTGAATCTCAAAAGGGTTAGAAGCAGCCTGTGTTGCCTTGGAACTGAGCTCTACCGCCCACGGGTAAAAGGGATAAGAGCCCACTATATTTGCAACAATATTTGGAGTTCATCTCATTTAGCTTCAGAATATAATGCAGTACCTGGTACAATGATCGCACACTAGGTTGAAATACCATGTTGGTATTAAGCAGAAAGGAGCGCAGAAGAGGTTGTGGGTAACTAGCCAGGTGGGTAATGATACCAATGAGCAGCAAATTCACATGCAAAGAGTTTTCCAACATGTTTTCCAGCTTTGAAAGCACCACACTGATAAATGGCCCTGCAGATTTAAAATGCACATATAATTAGTTGTAAAAACACAGGTCTAAACAAAAGAAAGACAACTGTAATATTGGGAGAACAAGCATTAAAATGTTTTTAGTCAGCCGGTATATTTATGCCAAAATGGAGGAAGAAAGACAAGAACCAATAGAAGCACCTGCTGCATTACATAATAAAGATATGCTGACCTTTAAAAATTTATTTATTTACCACACTTGTACCCTGTCCTTCTCACCCCGAAGGGAACTCAGGGCGGCCTCACAAAGGTCATATACACATATACATATTGGTAAGTAAACAACCATCAAAATCAAACCAATTAAAAATATAGACATTAAAACATCAAAGTCACAAAATCCAGATCAGATCCAATCTGAGTCATCATTCCATTGTTTGTAGTTTCTTACTGTGCTGCTTATTAACCAAAAGCTTAGAACCTAGCCATGCCTTTAGTTTTTTTCCTGAAAGTCAGGAGGGAGGGGGCTGATCTAATTTCATTATTTATTTATTTTATTTATTTAGAACTTTTATATACCGGTCTTCTCAATTTCCACAGAGGGACTCAGTCCGGTTCACAACAAAAGATTCATACAATAGTTTAAAAACATCACATCTCATAATACACTAACACATTAAAATACAATCATGTAATTACATAAGGCCAAGTCGTCAGAATGAAGTCACAATTCATCGCCATTCATCCATGTGATCAGGAATTATTGACTCACTCATCAAATGCCAAATTCCAGAGCCAAGTTTTCACCAGTTTTCTAAACATCAGGAGAGAAGTGGCAGTTCTAATCTCCAATGGGAGAGAGTTCCAGAGCCGAGGGGCCACCACCGAGAAGGCCCTGTCCCTCGTCCCCACCAGACGCGATTGTGAGGATGTTCATTAGGGAGTTTCACAGACGAAGGGCCACCACTGAGAAGGCCCTGTCTCTCGTCCCCACCAGAGGAGCTTGCGAGGGGAGTTGGGACTTAGAGCAGGGCCTCCCCCGGTGATCTTATCCTCTGAGATGGGTCATAGAGGGAGATACGTTCAGACAGGTAAGCTGGGCTGGAACCATATAGAGCTTTATAGGCTAAAGCCAGCACTTTGCATTGTGCTTGGTAGCAGACTGGCAGCCAGTGGAGCTGACACAACAGGATAAACTGGATTTGGGTTGGGAGACTGGAGTGGTGTCAAGCAACAGGTATCCTAAAACCTGATTCTGACTAAGTTAGAAATAAACCAAGTTTTCCACATAGACCTCTTCCCAAAAGACAATTATTATTTAAAACAGGACTAAAAATCACAATCCCTTTCCACACACTCACATTTCTGTTCAGAGTTCTTCTTTCTCACCATCACCTCACCCCCACTTCCCAACCCCATATCAAATTATATTAGCAGTGGCACTTTGACACCAGCAAACTTCAGAACTGTTGTTTTACAAGATGTCAGGATGGGCAGTAAGTACCTCCGAGAAATGTTGTTTCCAAAGAAAAAAGGGCAACCATCTGAAAAATGACATTGCCAATTGGGTGATTCACTCCTAATTTCAGGCATGCTGTGGCAGGGGGGTGCTAATCCAATGGGCAGCCAGGTTGCTCACAGGAGCGGACAACTCCCTTGCTACGCCAGCTCCACTGGCTGCCCATTAGCTTCTGGGCTCGATTCAAAGTGCTGGTGTTAACCTATGAAGCCCCAAACAGTTCTGGCCCAGTTTACCTGTTTGAGCGTATCTCCCTCTACAAACCATCAAGATCACTCAGCGAGGCCTGCTCTCAGTCCCACCGCCATCGCAGAGACAGGACCTTCTCCATCATGGCTCCTCGGCTGTGGAACTCCCTCCCTAATGAGGTTAGATCTGTCCCCTCCCTTCTGATCTTTGAAAGAAATCTAAATCCTGGTTATGGGATCAAGCATTCACAGAATAGTTGTTTTACTGGGAAGACAAGATTTTATTGGACCTTACTTGGACTGTTTTGGATGACGATTTTAATATGGCGATTTTAATCTGGTGAACTAGTTGTAATGTATATTTTAAAAACTATTTTAATATATATGGATGTATTTGATACTAACCGTCCCCTGCCACGCGTTGCTGTGGCCCACATGGGGGTTCTGTGTGGGAGGTTTGGCCCAATTCTATCATTGGTGGGGTTCAGAATGCTCTGTGATTGTAGGTGAACTATAAATCCCAACAACTATAACTCCCAAATGTCAGGATTATATTTTCCCTAAATTCCGCCAGTCTTCACATTTAGGCATATTGAGTATTTGTGTAGAGTTTGGTCCAGATCCATCATTGTTTGAGTCCACAGTGATCTCTGGATGTAGGTGAACTACAACTCCCAATCCAAAGGGCATTGCCCACCAAACCCTTCCAGTATTTTCTGTTGGTCATGGGAGAACTGTGTGCCAAGTTTGGTTCAATTCCATCATTGGTGGGGTTCAGAAGGCTCTTTGATTGTAGGTGAACTATACATCCCGGCAACTACAACTCCCAAATGACAAAATCAATTTTTTTTTAGTGAAGAACATACATTGGGTTGTTATGTGTCTTGTGTCCAAATTTGGTGTCAATTCGTCCAGTGGTTTTTTAGTTCTGTTAATCCCACAAATGAACATTACATTTTTATTTATATAGATGTGTTTTATATCATGCTTGGCATTTAATTGTTGCCTATTTGGAAGCCGTTCTGAATCCCTCCTTGGAGGTTGAGAAGGACAAGGTACATATAAATGCCTGAAATCAACAAATAATAAATAAATAGCATATGACTCCCATTAGCATCCAGCACTTGCACAAGAAATATCTGCTGATGTGATAATGCCATGCTTTTCCTCAGCTTAGTAGAAAGTACATGTAGCATTAGTCTTGTGCTGTTTGGGGTTGAGTTCCTGACATTTACAGCGTCAGTTTCATAATTTTCTGGCCAATTAGAAGATACAGAAGCTACAACGAAGAGTTACAATGGCAAGCAGGGGCACAGCTAGACATATTTGCATCTCTTGCTAGGCTGAAGTTACTGCTAGAGCAGCATACACTTAGGATCAGATTGCTCCAGTTTCCCACATAGCAATTAAAATCCAAGTAGTCCACCCAGGGTTACTGAGGCCTGTTAACCTCTGCTGTTAAAAAAAGATATGTCACTGAGATGGGATATTAAAAGAGCAATGACACCATTTAAACATAGCCATTTTGTCTTGTGCACAATGGCACCAGTTAAAAGCCAGGTCACCCTAATACGATTACTGCTTGCACTCTTTTCTGGAACTTAATACACTTCTCTCAGGATACCGTCTGCCCATTTTTAAGAAGCCACTTTGAAAGTATCTTCCTTGCTTTCCTGGTCCTTTCCTTTTAGATAAATGTCACTGGGCTTTATTATTTATAGGATATAAGAGCAATAGCAGCAGGGTAAGTACAGTGGATGTTCAATGCAGGACTGTTATGGAAATACATTCACAGTTGTCACCAGAAAGGGGCTCTCACTGCGCAGACAGTGAGTTGCTTCTGGTGACCTAACCAGGATATATATAAATGGCCCTGTCATCACTAGCTAGCTTCAAGCACCTTGTTAGATGAAGAATCTCAGTGACAAGCAAGGGTTTACAAGCTTTGCGAGAGGAGTAGTACCAAGGACTAATTAGATCAAAATTAATGATGTTATACAAAACGCATTGTGCAGGCATGGACATAAAGCTAATTGGGGTCCTATTCATAATAAAAGTTTTATTTGCTACATTACATTCACATTACTGAAATGCTGATTGTGTCCTTGTCTGTGGATGAATGGACTGAAGCTGGTATCACATAAATTATTTGAAGAAAAATGTGTTATTTTTCTCAACTAACAAAAGGTGAGTGCCACATGCAAATATCAGTTCATCTCCACTCTGTCATATGGAAAAGGAGTTGATACGGAAATTTTGTTTTGAAATCGTAATGATATGGTAAAGGAATAATAAATCCCTTAGAATGTACTGCAGTCCGTAACACCAGAGCTCAGAAATTACTAGATATAGCTATGGATAGACCATGACTATCCAAATCAGGTGTCCCCAAATTAAGGCCCATAGGCCAGATGCGGCCCTCCAAGGTCAATTACCTAGCCTTCGCCCTAAACTTTAGACTTATGGTTCTCGACCTTCCTTATGCCGTGACCCCTTAATACAGTTCCTCATGTTGTGGTGACCCCCAACCATAAAATTATTTTCGTTGCTACTTCATAACTATAAATGTTGCTTCTGTTATGAAGTGTAATGTAAATATAATGTATATAAATATAATGTGATGTAAATATTACAAAATGTTGATAATTTCCACTACCTTGGCAGCCACCTTTCCACCAAAGTCAACAGTGACATCGCTCTGTGAGTGCAGCATTTCTCTGAATGAAGCAGGGAGTGTTTGAGGACTGGGACATCCATAGGGATACAAAGGTGTTCATTTATAAAGCTATTGTCCTCGCAATCCTGCTATACACCTGCGAAACATGGACTGTCTATAGACGTCACATGCAACTCCTAGAACGATTCGTCAGAAGGAGAGAGGAGTGGCTGTAATTTCATTTCAAAAATCTTGCTTGGATCAGTGGAAAACCTGAAATCTCAAAAAACTTATCATGTCAACAGGACACTTGGAGAGGTGAGAACCATATGTGTGCTAGACTTCCTGGCTAATTAATCAGGCCACAAGGTCTAACTTCTTACAACAAGGCAGGGTCCAAACATGCCTGAAAGAAGTCTATGAGAGGGGGGCTTTCATGGATCCATATACCAAAATGGAAGGTTGGGAGAAGAGCACACACACACACACACACACACACCTATATTTATACACACACAGATACTCCTGGAGTTGAGAAACCCCACTATATACCCTAGTATCAAAATGGAAAGTTGGAGAATAGAATAGGTGTGTGTACACACACACACACACACATTCATGCTATTCTCCAACCTTCCATTTTGGTACTGGGGTGTATGATGGCTTCTCAATTCCAAAC